CCCTGGGTGCTGAGGTCAGCCCTCAGCCCTGTGCTCCTTGCTCCAGACAGCCCCTTCCCTCTCCTCCTCCTGAGCTCCCAACTCCCCCGACACCTTTTTCAGTATGCAGGGACCAGAGAGGGACGGAGGAGGACAGGTCATTGCAGAGGTCTCTGTGACGGCACACGTGAGTGTAGGAGTTGACAGAGAGCCCAGGGCCTGTCCTGTGCTCAGTGACTTGGACCTCGTGATCCTCTTCTGAAGTGCAGCCCTTTGTGAGCACCAAGTTCACTTGGGGTCCTGAAAAGAAAGGGGCAGGTGGGTGAAGGTGGCCTTCGTAACTCCAGCATCCTAGAGAGAGGTCACTCATGGCGAAGTGGGTGAGGTACCGGAAAGGAAGGGACTGGGCTGACCGGGAGGGATGGGTCTGAGGACTCAGGGTCTCTTCTCACCGTTCTCTATGAGCATTAACGTGTCTTGGCAACCATCGCCAAAGTCACAGGTTGTCTTGCCATTTGTCCACTCCACGGGCATCTGTGTTGTGTTCAACACAGTCTCTATGGCCGCCCACTGGCAGTCCAAAGCGTGCACACCTGGGAGAGGGGGAGCAAATCCATCTTAATAGTTTCCTAGTTGACCTCCATGGAAATCTACTTCCAGGTTTGGTTCTTCACTCACAGGGCAGCAAGAAGGTGACCCCCAGCAGGGCCAGCAGTGATGCGGAGCTCATTATTAATCTGTGGCTGCAAATCCCCTTTATGCTCTTTAGCCAGAAGTACAGACCTTATATATCTCATGTTACCTAAGGCATCACAGGAAACGCCAGAGAGGGCAGGGCATTGCTAAATGGATCCTGGGCCCCACCCTCTAAAGGCCCAGATATCCGTGTGGCTACTCTTCCCTCAGACCCAAGAAATCAGCTCCAACTCCTCCCTGGCCCACTTCTAAGCCCAGCCTGGCCACCTTCTGAGCCCAGGTGGCAGGATGGCTGAACTGCCTGTGAGGACATGGTGCAGTGTGCAGTGTGCAGGTCATGTCCCCTGCCCCCCACAGTTTACCCTCTTACTTCTTTCTTTCCTTCCTATTTTGCTTTATTTATTTATTTATTTATTTATTTTGGTCCTGGAGATTGAACACAGGGGCCCTTAACCTCTGAGCCACATCCCCATCCCATTTTAATAGTTTATTTAGAGAGAGGGTCTCCCTGAGTTGCTTAGGGCCTCACTAAGTTGCTGAGGCTGGCTTTGAACTTGTGATCCTCCTGCCTCAGCCTCTCAAGATGCTGGGATTGTAGGCGTGCGCCACCGCACTTGGCTTGCTTTCCTTTTTATTCCTGTTTTCATCACCTTTAGGCTTTCTCTTCTGATCTCCCTTCACAGAAGAGCAGAGGCCCTGGAGTCCTCATTTCCCTGCCACCTGGGAAGGAGTGGAAGACGGAAGATGGAAGATGGTATGGTATGGAAGGGATGGTATGGGAGGGCTGAATGTCTGTGAAGAGTTAAGACACTCCTCGTCATTGTAAAGCTTCTTCCCCACAAACAGAAGGGAGAGGTGGAATGCTAGAAATTCAACTTTCCAGAAAGACAACATCCACAAACGTTGACCATTTTTGCAGTGCAGCTGCTCCTGCCACATCTGATATTGTTACCAAAAGTTTGACAGCCTGATCCCCAAACTTCTGCCTATTTAAACCATCTATTCTTGCAAGCCCATGCAAACCTTCACCCCAGGTAGGAGCAAAACAGGAGAGAGTAGGGGCTTCAATCAGTGACTGCAGAAGCTCTATGCAGATATTGTGAAATGGAACCGAGAGGCAGAAGAGGGCGAGAACAGGAACAGAGGAGAAAGTGGAATGAATATGTAACTTGCAACCCCACATTTGTTTTTGCCATCTCTATGCGTTCTATTTTTCTGTTTGCAAATTTCACATTTGCTGCACAGGCAGAGACATGTTTTCTCCTCTCCTGCTGTGTTTGCATCCCCTACATACCATGGACCCTGCACAAATATTTACTGACTGAATCAATGAATGAGAAAGGAAAGATGGCTACGGCACTATCACCACCTTGGTCGAGTTGCATGCTGTCACATGGATCCCTTCCCAGGGATTCACGTTGTTCCCGTGTGAATCGGGCCTTCTGGAATTGTGCATGGCCTAAAGCAGTGTCCCAGGAGGATGAGAGAAGGGAAGGGTGGGCAAAGTGTCAAATAGGGTCAGAGGTACTCAAGTAAACGTCTTGCATGAGTCACTAAATATGGGCTGATGTTTGACTTTGTGCCAGGCAACAACTTCGTTGCTGGAGATACCAGGAAGTCGTGGAAATGAGACCATGGCTCTCTTTGAGCTTGTAGCCTAGGAAGAGAGACAGACACATGGGCTGGGGATGTGGCTCAAGCGGTAGCGCGCTCGCCTGGCATGCGTGAGGCCCGGGTTCGATCCTCAGCACCACATACCAACAAAGATGTTGTGTCCGCCGAGAACTAAAAAATAAATATTAAAAATTCTCTCTCTCTCCTCTCTCACTCTCTCTTTAAAAAAAAAAAAAAGAGAGAGAGAGAGAGAGACAGACACTAAACAAATGCCTGGGCATGGAAAATACTGGATGGTTCTGGGAGCTAGGCAAAGAGTGAAAGCCAGGGGACATGAAGTGACTGAGCTGACTGCTCCAGGGAGGGTCTTCCCGAGGAGGTGATTGATGTTTGAGTTGGGAAAAGAATTGAAAAGCAAGAGCCAGGCATGGAAAGACTGCGGGAGAAGCATTCCAGGCAGGGGGAAGGGCAGGTACAAAGGGCCCAAGATGGGATCAAGCTTGGCCTTCACCGTCGTGGGTGAGAGCAACGGGAATGAGAAGCGAAAGGCTGGTGGGGCCTGGAGCTGCAGACCTGAGCCAGGATATCAACCAGCCTTCTTGGGAATCTTGCCTATCTCAAGGGGCAAAGGCCAAAGCTGGAGTGGAGCTGTTTAACTCCACGTCTGTCCACCCTTGGTCTCTAAAACTGCTTACTATGGGCTCTTCTCAGTTGCCTTCGATCATGTGGCCTTGGGTCATTGTCCAAACTTCGTGGTTCTCTTCCATAAAGTAGGTGCCATAGTCATCTGCACTGATGGGTGGTGATAAGGATTAAGATCTATACATAAACCAAGTCGGTTCTCCACAAATGGTAAGATAGTTAACACAATGGGTCCTTATTTTGTTCCAGGGCCCAGCCTAAGCAGTTATGTGATTGATCATAGGCCACAACTTCAAGGGAGACCCTATTAATGGCTCAATTTTATAGGTACAGAAACAGATCCCTACAGAAGCTAAATAATTGACCCAAGGCCATGCAGTGTGGCAGAGATAACTACCCAGCAGAGATCCTTGCTCCCCTTCTAGGGTATTGAGACATTGCTAAGGGGTGACTGTCCAGACAGGGTCCTAGCTCCCCTTGCCTCGAGGTGGACCATGTGACTAGTGTCCACCTTGGGCAGACATGACTTCTGTTATGGCTGAATCCGAAGGATTGAGAAGCGGGAATACCTTCTCTTTCCACCATTTATCAGCTAGACGTTGACATCGGGCCCATCCTGGATGCACACACGGAGGCAACAGCGCCTCCCCCTGCCTCAGTCGGTGTAAGTCTGAGGAAAGCAGAGAACACCTTCCCCCAGTACTCTGCCAGGTGGACGCCATGCAAGTTAAAGCCAAACATCTACTATGTTACGGCAGCTATGGTGTCTAATCTCCACTGTTAGGAAATGTTTTTCTTGGGTTGGGTATCCTAGAAGCAGAGCCCAAGTCAGGGATTCTGTCTCAAGTGTTTTATTGAGGGACAGGTCTGAGGAGAAGAGCGAGGGAAGCAGGAGGGGAGAGGAGGGGAGAAAGACAGAGAAAGGATGCATCTTGCCTAGAGACTCACCGAGGTCAGACTCCACACATGGCACCACAAATGGACCCCCATGAAGCAGGCTACCATTTGCATTCCCATTCCAACCAGTCCTTGACTGAGGCCTTCCCCTGAGCTGAGAACATAAGGGGTGTGTAGCCTTCTTGGTCCGGGGCTTTCACTGGGCAAGAATCATTCTCCAGGGTTGGGGTTGTGGCTCTGTGGCAGAGCTTGCCTAGCACGTGTGAGGCACTGGGTTCAGTCTTCAGCACTACACACAAATAAATAAAGTTACTATGTCCAACTACAGCTAAAGAGAATTCTTTTTAAGAAAATCGTTCTCCAGGGAAAGGGAAACGATGAGACATCATTAGCTGACGTCAGCTGGCCAAGGGAATCTAGATGAGAGATACCGTATCCACTCCAGTGCTGGACACAGGTGCGATCCCAGGAGCCAGTGGGATGCAGGGGTGTCGGTGGATTTCTATGAATCCCTACTTCATAATAAGAGCATATATACTAACAATGACAAACGCTGTCATTTACTGTCAGTGCCATACAGGGGCATAAAGAGATCTAAGGAGTTCATCTGCAGCACTGCCACTACTGGGTTTGTTTTTTGTTTGTTTTGTTACTTTTTGGGGTGGGTTGCTGTTAGATGCAACAATTACAAATCTTTCTTGTCTTATGGAAGAGCGAAGGAAAGGGCCTTCTCCAAGGCTTCTAAATCAAGCTGTGGCCAATCTAGAATAATCAATCCTGGGCCCCTCAGACCACAGTTCAGCGAACTCATTCTGCTTTCCTTCTCCTTTTCGCCTGGATGATGGGTTCATGGGTTACAAGAAGCCCGGATCATGACAGGACTTTCTCTGGATATTTACCAATGGAGGGTTAAGCCAGATCTTTTAGCACTTGTGTGGGGCACCCAAATACCACACTGTGAAGTATAAATACTTCTTTCATGGTGATAAACCTTCCAGAAAACACATTTTTACTCCTCTGAGACTTGCTCGGTGATGTGAGAAAGAAGTATTTCCTCTGGGGTTTGCCCAGCTCCAGCCCCTCCCTCTGCCCCTGCCTGATCCCCTGGCTGTCTTTCCCCAGCGCTCTCCCCATCTGTCGTTCCTGAGAGCAGCCCCACACAGGGCTTGCTCCGTGCACCATAATGTCGGAAACCTCCGATCCCACCTGGCTCCAAAGGTGCCCAAGTGTTCTCTATTTCTTTTTTGTTCCCTAATTTTATTTTGAAAGTTTTCAGACCTATTGAAAAATTGCAAGGATAGAATAAGGACCAGAGGCCTGGGGGTGTGGCTCAGCAGTACAGCGCCTGCCTAGCATATATGAGGTCCTGGGTTCAAGCCCCAACACCACTAAACAGACAAACAATGACCAGGTGTATACTCTTCACCTAGATTCACCGACCATTAACATTTTGCTGTTTATATACCTACAACACAAAATTTTAATTTTTTAATCTTTATTTTTATATAGTGCTAAGGATCAAACCCAGTGCCTCATGTGTTCGAGGTAAGCGCTCTACCGCTGAGCCACAACCCCAGATCCTAAAATTTATTTTTAAAATAAAAAAAAAATTAAAATTTTGGGCTGGGGGTTGTGGCTCAGCAGTGGAGTGCTCTCCTAGCAAGGGTGAAGCGCTGGGTTCCATCCTCAGAACCACATAAAAATAAATAAATAAAAGTATTGTGTCCAACTACAACTAAAAAAAATTTGTTTTAAATAAATTTTAGACCTTGTGACTTTCACCACTAAGTGCTTCAGCAAGAACCTCTTTACCAATAATGACTTTAGCCAGGGGCAGTGGCGCAAGCCTATAATACCAACTGTACGGGAGGCTGAGGCAAG